AACTCACTCTTCAGTCAGTAAGGAAAGACTGAAGAGGGAGGACGCAATCTGAAGTCCTTATATACTACAGAGAAGTGTCCATGACTAATCGAAAAGTGGTTAGTCACATGTACCATAGTGCGATGAATAATACGATGGTGAAAGAATTGCGACGTATCGCACCATAGGATGAGTAAGAGATGAGTAAGGCATAGACCTGTCTAGACCGTTCTGGAGTAGTACGGATTGTCCTAGACAGTACCAGAAGAGTCCGGAAACATAGCTATAGTACACGAGCAGAGAGTCCCAAATATGGTAACATACTACATAAGCGACTACAGCTAAGCGCTAGGAGACGCATAGCCTCGTGTAGTCCGGACCGGATAAGTCCAAGTTCAACACATGATGAACGAAGGTGATCCACGATGTTCGCAGAAGGCACCTTACAAGGACCTCATGGGCGCTACTTTGGGCAGGTAGGCCGGAGCGAATGGACAGGCTCTCAAGAGCAGAAGAGACAAAATTTGGACTGGAATGAATTCCAAAGACAGTTTTAATAGCCCATACAGTCTATTGAAGACAGTTGTGTGGAAAGGGTGCCTCCAGAAAATCGGAACTAGGTGCTACTTGAACGCTGCCTCTACCGGCGTTGCATAAGAGTTGATGAGGTGTCTGCTGACGAAGTTGGTTCTGAAAAGGTATCATGAGCCTATATAGACACTCTATTACAGATATGAGAGTGGGGAGACGACATTGAAGCGCACAAGAGTCACGAAGATACGCCGATGCCTGAACCTCTTCCGGCGCTTGATGCGCTGGCAAGAGCCAGGAAGCAGACTGCCTACTGCTCTGGCCGAGAATGTGTAACATCTTCCTATAAACCCACAAAATCACTATAAATGAGCCATATACTTTCATAAGTGACATTGCAAGGCGGTGCGCAGATGCCTGAGCGAGAAACCTCATCGCCCATAGGGAGCTTCTAGTGATTTCCCTCGAAGGGCACAAGTCGGGAACCAGGAGTCCTACGCTCTCCACTCAAGTTCGTGAGGTCTCGTACTCGCTGCTATAGGGATTATGCAAAGTTTATAGAACACAGGGGAGCAGAATCGCGAGTGCATGAATTGTTTGATTTTTTCGATTTTTCCCTGGTCGAAACTGCGTCGGAGTTGGTCGGGCATAAATTTCGCAACCAGCTGTAAGGTCCTTGTATCTCACAATGACAACGCGACATTCCTCCCAAATTTAGAGTCGTTGACCTACAAATGGCGACCTGAACATGCAGCCCTTCAAGTTCTCGAGCTCATCGCGCCCACATACCTGGAGCGGATCAAGTTTTACAGCCGTCGGGCACCACCTGCAAGCGACTGGTGGCCTGGAATTAAGCAGCTCATCCGTTCCGCTCCCCTTCTCGCCTCCATCTACAGCGGAAATCGGTGGCGAGGCGAAATTCGTTCTGTGGTCCCTGAGTGCGCCACTCTCTTCCACCATCTTCAATCACTTGATGTCCCTTCAGTGATCGTAGATCCGGACCCTCTGTCGCAGCTCCTGACGCTGCCAAAACTCGAGACACTCGAGTGTACACTGGGCCGCTCTCCCTTCCATTGGCAGGGTCCCATCTCCGCGCCCCCCTTCTGTCCGCGGTATATCTGGATCTCGACCTCGAAGGGTGCCATGCTGCCAATATCGCGGCGCTCTTTCGACATCTGGCCAGCGCCGCTACGACAAAATTTCTGCAGGAGCTTGACATTACCATGCCGTGCGACGAGGGCGCGCCCCGCTCATTTTCCTCTATCGCGTTCAGAGACGTTCTGCTCCCAGTCTTCTCCCACCCCCGCATGCGCAGCCTGCGCGTGAAATTCGTGAAGACTGACGCCGCGACCTTCACCGATGCCAATCTCGGCGCAATCCTGGAGGCCTGGGACGACCTGCGGTACATCACCGTGTCGCTGCCGCTGGCTCGGAGCGTCTAGGAGGCCAGCCGCTTCCCCGGCTGGAACACGTCGCGCGCCGCTGTCCGCGCCTGGTCGTGCTCAGGATTCCCATGGACTTCGTGCACGATCCCGCCCTCCCCGCGGAGCCTCTGCCGGTGCCGGCTCACCCGCTGGCCGAACTGTCGATCTTCGTCAGACGGTTCGACCCTTGCATGCGCCCGGACCAGGTGACGCGGCTTGTCGACCGCCTCTTCCCCCGCCTGGTCTACGGAGCCCGCATGGGGGGCCAGCCCTTTCTGGAGGAGACGCGGACCCGCTGGAATAACATGTGGCGAGAGATGTGGCAGCTGCAGACGGAGCGGACGGGCGAGGTCTACGCGTCTGAGTACTGCACGGACGATGAGGAGCTGAGCGACTGGTCCGAGCACTCAAGGGATGAGGAGTAAGGGACCGAGGAGAGGAGGGGCGCGGCAGAGTGGTAGAATCGAAATGGGGGTGCAACATCCGTAGGACGCCCACGGCTGCGGTTCTGCCGTTGAGCAGTGCGGTGCTTGACAAACGCACGGGTCGACAGTGGTCGTGGAAGCAGCAGTTGAGATCTTGGTGAAGAGGAAGGCTTGAGTCCGATCCCATGCTATTCCATGCCTGCCCACTTGACACAAGTCTGTCATATTGCTTGCCTGGACTGAGAGCATCCATATGGTACGTTGGCATTGATCATGACTGTCTTGGGGAGACCAGGTGTTATAAGGCTGCGATCCCAGAGGCGATGCGCTCCCTTGAGTTTGTGAGTCCGCCGCATATAATCAAGCTGGTAGAATGGACTGAAAGCCAATTGACGGGCCCGCAAGGCAAGCGCGGAAGTGCGCATCACGGTCACGACATCCGTATCTGACCTACGACTCGTGCAGGTCCCTTCGTCTTCAAGGGAACTCGTCGAGTAGCCTGAGGGCTTGCATCGCAAGCACGACACTGATTCGGACGCTTCACAGACACGTACTCCATATTCATATTTTCGATAGCATCATGTACAAAGGCAAGATCAGGAATGAACCTTGAGCGGGCACGCGGAAAGAAAGAGGGTCAAAAAACAAACACAGACTACTAGGATGGACACCGAAGTGGTAGTACTCACCGCCGGCCCGGGTGACAACGTCATGGTCAACAGCTTGGATACTCTATTCTGCACTGACAGCGCCGCCGCCCACATCTCCTATTGCATCATCAATCGCGATTAATTTCAAGAACGACCGCGCACAACGTCCGAGCACCAGAGGAGTCCCATCCAAGAGCGTCGACTTGGATCAACTGCGAGCAAATCGCCCGCATCAGCGCAGCCCAGTACAACCGAGTGACAGACACTCGCACTCACAATTGCAGGTATACACACTATTGCTCAGCGGGGCTGGGAGGCATCCGAGGGTGGCTGGCAAAGATCCGACAAAAGACGGATTCGAGAGATTCCCCGAAGATCCAGTGCATCGCCTTGCTCGTCAACCACCACTCGGCCATCTCCACCGTCCACCAAGCCATCGTATCAAATGCCGCAGCAGGGGGCTGGAACTCGAAGAAGGACGCGAGTGGGATGAGGAACCCCCCTAAGAAATACACCGCACCGACGAGGGAGAAACGGCTCCGCAGATGTCTCGCCGCCATCAGACTTCAGAGTTCGACCGGAAATGAATTTCAAACGCGGGCCGGGTCAGCAGAGCGATCCGAACACGCCAGCAGGCGTACTGAGCACTCACTAGCAATACGCCGCGAACCCGAGCGCCGCCTGCGGCCCGAGCACGGTCGCGGTTGTGCTCCAGCCGGCAGACGCGTCGACGTCGAGGTTGGCGACCGTGCCCAGCGCATACAGGCCTGCGGCGCACAAGCCCAAGGTGCGGCCGCGCAACCGCGCAGAGGGGGAGTTGATCCGGCCCCCGCCGGCCGTGTAGCCCGCGTGATACAGCATGTCGACGGCGAATCCGTTCAGAAGACAGTCGAGCACGGCGTGCTCCTTGCCCCGAACCGGAGAGGCGGAGTACTGCCAGGAGGTGAGCACGAGGCCGAGCGCGGTGAGCAAGTTGTGGGGGTTGTCGGACCGGACGGCCGTGGCGCATGCGGTGCAGACCGCGAGTGCGACGTACGGCGCGAGTTCGATGGGTGTTCTGGCGAGGGCGAAGTGGAACATTGCTGCTTGTAGGCTTTCTGGTGCTGCTCGCGAATCGGCGGGAGGATTGTTGAGGGTGGATGTGTACTGCTGATCAAAACTTGCGACAGCTGTATACCGCAATGTCAGTCTGCGTTACGTAGACATGAAAGAGGTGCGGAGACTGCGTACACACGGCGGTAATGAAGTATAGCGAGGACAGCTGGAGAGCCGCGCCCACGATGCCAAGATTTTCGAGCCCGTAAGGAGAGTAGATGAGGCCGAGGGGGTAGAGGACAAGACACAACGACCAGCCCGCAGGCATAGGACCCCTTAGGGCCGTCTTGAACTCGTCATAGTCCATCATTCTCTGTGTGCGAACACTATCTAGCTCGTTGTAACGGCCAGAGACGACTGACACGGACGGCCTGAGCGAGCTGGTCGACGAGTTGCAACACTGGGAAGTGGCATGTGGTGCAACGTGCCCAGAACTCCCACGAGCGTGCTTTACATAACCTTCCCAGGTTCCATATATTGAGCAGCGAGAGCCGAGCTGCAAGGAGAGCAAACGCAAGCAAGTGTATAGATGGCTCGTGTCGAGTGTTTCCGAGTCTCGAATCTCGTCGCTGCTGCTAAGTACGAGTGTTGTTGTTGAAGGGATCCGGTCCGGCCGGTCCGGTTTGACTCCAAGTACTGAAAAGAACCGGATCGGCTTCGTGCACCCGCAGAAAGAGCGGCCGCTTCACTCTCAGAGCAACGATCACGCATCTAAGTTGCAAAGCGTAGTGAGACTATATGTGTCTCTGGGCAGTTGTAGTGCGGAGGGAGAGAACTGGCGGGAACGTCAAAGGTACATATCACGGCAGGGAATCGGGTGTTTTCGACTGGGTAGAATTCGATGCAAAGTGGACGCAGAAGGCAACCGCCGGCTCGGTTTTCAAGACTTTTGTCCAGCGAGGCGACGATCCCACAAAAATTGTACCTTGTGCGTCCCCTCTTCATCGACTTTTCGCCGATGGAGCACGCCCGATTCCCTGCCGTGCATTAGGATCGTGGCGAGCATGTCTTGAGGTGAACGGTAACAAGAATCAGCTCACTATCGCCACGCAACTCAACGTAGGCATACCAAGGGCTTTCCTATGCGCCCAGGGCGAGAGTGTCCTGCGAAATTGAAGGAGTGTCTCATGATGGACGTGTCGAAAGAACGACTCTCCAGCGTGAGGCTGGAGTTGTGCATATCACGGTCACGTGAGGGTGACTGTGCGCGAGTGGTTGGGCCCGGCGAGAGCGAGTGCGATGACGCGTAGTGCGCCACCTTGCTCCGCCTCTTGCTCGACTCGCTCGACAGCGCCTGCCCCCGCTCCACCCCAGCCTGCGCCTCCCAACATGCCCCACAGACATAAGCCATGTCCTCCATTCCCCTCTCTCCCCACCACCCCCATCTCTCCTGTAGCACTCGCCCATCCTCGTCTGCGTCCTGTTACTCAATCTTAGTAGCACAAGTCCAGCATCACCTCACTTATCACAACTGTCTCCATTTGATCCTTTACCATGTCCGCGACAATGACCCAGACCCGCGCCTCCCCCTCCCTCATCACCTCCCAAGTCCCCCTCGTAGCGGGCGACGTCCTCCGCGCCATCGACACCCCCGCCGTCTCACCCCCACCTAACTCCTCGCCTCCAGCAGCCTCTCCCACCGCACCCTCCGCCAAGAAGGGCCACAGACGGACGTCCAGCGCCGCGTCCGACATCGCCAAAGCCGCCGGCATCGACCTCGACGCCGTCTCCATGGGTGAGTCCCCCCGCTGCATCCCCGCCCGTGTCCGCAGACCGACCCCGCACGCTCCAGCCGAGGCGCGCAAAGTCATGTCCGAGGAGCACAAGATCCTCGGCTTCCGCCCCCCGCACGGCTCCTTCGCCGCCGAGGTCCAGTCCGTCGCCGCCAAGCACCCCGAGCGCAAGCCTGGGGCGGGCCCCGCGGTCGACACCTCGAAGCTCAAGGAGATCGCGCGCGAGGACGCGCTCCGCATCCTCGCCGAGCGCAAGTCCTCCCCGGGGACCGACACCGCCGCCCTCCCCGCCAGCAGCACCGGCCCAGGGGCGAAGGCGAACGGGGCGGACGCGAAGCACGCCGCGCCTGCCAGGCAATCCCCGCCCGAGCCCGGGCTCGACCTCGACAAGATCAGCGCGAGTGCGTACATCCCATACTTACTTACACCCCCCCCCCTCCTACGCACCACACCGTGTACGCTGACACGCCCCTCCTACGTCGCCAGCGGACGCGCGCGTGCTCATGTCGCATGAGCACCGCGCGCTCGGCTTCCGCCCGCCCCCCGGCTCGCTCGCCGCAGAAGCGCAGGCCGCCGCCGCGCGCCACCCGGACGGCGACGGCACGCACCTCGACGACGGCGCGCTGCGCGCGATTGCCGTGCGCGACGCCGAGCGCATCAAGGCCGACCGTGAGCTCGCGCTCGTCGGGGACCCTGCTGTGAACATCTCTGCGGTGGACAAGGACGCCGCGCGCGAGATCGTGCGTGCGGAGGCGGGGGCGCTGGGGCATCGGCCGCCGCAGGGGAGCTTGGCGGCCGAGGCGCAGAGTGCGGGGGATAGGCACCCCGCGGGGGGCAGTTTTGTCCCTGGGAGGGACAGAGTGGAGTTGGAGGGGCTGAAGGAGAGGGCGAGGGAGGAGGGGACGCGGTTGAGGGAGGAGGTGGTGGGGAGCGATGGGCAGGGGGTCGTGAATGGCGCTTCGTGAGTGGGTCTTTCGCGTGTTGAACGTCTGCTGCCTCGTCGTATCGGGCTACTGACGCTGGCCTCCGTTATGCGCGCGGGACGAGCAGGTACGTGGACCCAACCCTGGCGAAGAATCTGCAGCAGAACGGGGCCATCGACGAAGACAAGGCGGACGCCCCCGACGCCCCCGCGAAGGTCGACAGCGCGGTGGAGACGGAGCCGATGACGGAGGAGAGGCCGCGCGTCGCGCGCACGCTCGCGACGGCCCCGCTGGAGCGCCAGGAGACGGCGGACTCGGTCGAGATCGTCGGCGACATCCTCGCGTAGGCCCTCGAGTATGCAGGTGGCTTGTTGTGTGGAGGTTAGACGGGACTGAGGCCTCGCGAGTGCCCGGTCTAGAGGATGCTTGTATGCGCAATTGGCTAAGACGCCATCGTCGTGGTAGATAAGGTGTATTTGTATGATCTTTGTATACATTAGTAGCCAGCTCTCTTCGTAGCGAGCGATGAGAAGACATACCCGATGTAAACGGGTATGCAGGGCACGGTGTTAACTTGACGGAAGGCCGACTGCGACGCAGGGCGAACATATACCGTGGTAGTACCGGTGGGAAAGTCGGGCGCCTGTGCTACCCGCGACATGGATAGCCGTTCTTGTGCTTGTTCTCTACCAGCTATGTTCCCATTGATATCCGCCACACTACGTCTCCCGCTTATGCTCACGGTCCGCTATATTCGAATGACACCCTCAGGCTGTCGACGTGCTAAAGCGTCGAGGGCCCAGAGGATTCGAAGAGATGATCAGGCATCGTCGCGTCCTGCGCATATGTACGAGTAAGCGGTCATCGCAGCGGTGCGCGATAGCTCCCGGTCTCCGGAATGGGTGTGGGCGTAAGTGTGCGTGTGCAGACTAGTGTGTATGAGCTGCCTGCGACGCCCCGGACATCCTGGCATATGTACCCTCCGGACGACGTCCCCGCGGCAAACATCTAGAGGGCACCTCCGTGTCGCAGCTGTCACGAACCACGCGCTGCTTCGATTATGCGGGGGCGCGGCGGAGGTGGGGCAGTCAGGGGGGACGCTCCCACCGCCCATCCCGCCGCGAAGCATCTTCAAGTTTACATTCTCATTGCCTGGTGGGTTCCTAGAGCTTATTTCACGCTGCTCGTGCTTCACGCTTCTCGTATTTCCCAGATGCGATGTCGGTGGTGGTGGATGCGTTGTGGACAGGATTGTGGCTCTGAGCACATCCCAGCGTATCTCGAATTGCTGCACTCGATGTCCCGCTCGCATGTGCGTATGTTCGGCTTTGCGCGAAGCCACACATGAGCGCTCTGGCATTCTGAGTCGTGACTCGTCAACTTTGAGAGCGGGGGACGCTGGCGTGTAGCCAGCATAGCGCAAGCACTGCATTGCTGCCACCGAATCCAAGCCCAAGCACGGCGGAAATTCAGCTATGTCCAATCAGCGAAAAGTCGATGAAGGGATGCACAAACAGTAGCCTTTGAACATGGCAGGAGGTTGCCTTCTGCGTCCCCTTTGCATCCAATCCTCACCAGTCAAAAATACCCGGACCCCCGCCGTGAAGCCTCTGACGCATCCGTGCGCGCTTCTCAAGCCGCCGATTGGGAACGTGAAGACGAGCATCGCTAGCAGCGGTCTCGACGCAGCCCCGGTCCTCCGCAGCACAAAGTAGGTTTCATTGTGTGCTGATCTGGGGGCAGACGCCATGTCTTCGCTTAGCTGACGCCTGCACGACATGCGGGCAGCATGACAGACACATCGCTCGTGTCCCGATGTCAACTGACACTTGTCTATCATGTGTGGGTACTGACTACCGCCGAGATCTGTTCGGGATAGTAGGTAGCGGACAGGCGTCCACGGCGGGTGTGGTAACGGCCTACCTATCGGACATGTGCGTGTGTGCCTGATCGAACACACATCCGGATGGCGGGCACGGAAGAGTATAACTCTCGCGTGCCAGGTCTCTGCCTTCCTCGCCTACTCACCCTCGCGCGCCCGCGTCTTCTCCTGGCCGCTGTAGGCCCCGCTATCAGGCACGACCTCGAGGTGCGAGTCGCCCGCTCCCCGCGCGCAGCTTCCAGGCCCTCACGCATTGCACGCGGCTACCTCTGCTGTCCTCTGCGCTGCACGGCTAGCGGTCGCCGTCTGCCTCGCTCTCGGGCTGTCCGTCTCTCGCCTAACTCTCTCCCTCTGTGCTCCCTAAATCCGCTGCGCACTTGACCGCACCTCGCCACCAAGCTGGCTTCCATATCGCTCTCTACCCTCCACAAGACTGTAAGCGCTGCAGATCCAGCGCGCGCGAGCATAATATGACCGCCGCCTCTCTTGCGGCAGATATCAACCTGGTGTGCGTACCCCGCGCTTCTCTCCCGTCGCGCACGGATGCCCGCGCTTGGTTGTACTGACGTCGCGCGGACGTGATTTGCAGGGCGGACGGTGCGAACGTCAACCGCGTGGCCCAAGCGATCTCGTTTAGTGAGTGCTTCTCTGCGTGCGATCTCCTCGCCCTTTCGCAGTCTCCGCTAACCTTACACGCGTTTCCCCAAAACTATACGCTAACGTTCCGCGTTTACAGCGATACTCTACTATGACTTTCTCCTCACGTTCCCCCAGGAAGTCGAGCGATATTGGACGGGGGTGCGGTCCTGGGCGTCGTTCTTCTTCTTCCTGAATCGGTATATGTCTGTCGTCTGCTACGTCCCATTTGCGTATGAGTTCTACGCCGACATGCCAGAGCCGGTGTGTTTCCCCCCTTGATAGGCGCACGCGATGCTCATAGCATCATTCTATTGTGACAGAGATGTCGGGTGCTACAGCTGTATCACCGCCTCCTGCTCGCGTCCACGCAGTGTGTGGCCGCAGGTGCGTTCGCGGCGCCCTCGTCTTCTGGAGCTTATTTGACGCCGGCTTGGTCCTTATGCAGTCCTGCTGATGCTGCGCACATATGCGCTGTACAATCGCAATCGCAAGGTCATGGCCCTGCTCTCGTCGATGGCCGCTATTGGAGGCGCAGTCATAGTGGTATGGCTCTTGACCACAGCCCTGTGGGGTCGTTCGTCGCTCTTGTCTGACACTTCCAGACAGTGGTCCATCGCGAGTGCCCCATGGGACGAGCACAAGTCGCCCGACGTATCGCCGCTGGTGGGGTGCGACCTCAGGATCTCTATACGCCAGTGAGTACTCCACCCGGGCCCATCCTCATGTGGCTGATATTCCGTGCTGACCGCGGGGACGGCGGTTCACAGAGGCTACTGTGAGCGTCGGCTCTTCTCGTCTGCCCAGAGACATCCGCATTGAAGCTGACGTGCACCCCGGCCCAACAACGCAGATCTCGCTGCGGCATGGAGCTGCATACTGATATTTGGCGCGACCGTGTTCGGCCTCACACTCTGGCAGGCGTTGCGCGCGGGCCGAATGTGGAGACACAGTCTCTTCCACATCATTCTCAGGGACGGTGAGTTCATCCGGGGTCGATGGTTTTCTTCTGTTCTGTTCGGGCTCGGAATTGACGTTGTCGTTCTGCGCTCCTAGGGACCGTATATTTCGGGTACGTTGTTGCGCGAGCCTAGTCCAGAATGTCCGGAATGGGAGCGTTGGCTAACCTGTGCTGTATGCACCGCAGGGTGCTTGGCGTCTGCTACATGTCAAATATCCTGACATATACGGTATACCTCCCCTTCTTCGTCTCCCGGCTCTCCCCACGCTGACGCTCCCGATTGTCATATCGTCACTTTAGCTCGTGCTGGTACGTCTCCCAGGCACGCAATGTACCACATGCTGTGTCACAGCAAAGGGCTGACCTGTCGTTGAATCCATCTCCGCTGACAGCCAAAGCATAAGGGCATTCTGACAACGATCACAAACGTGTACGTCCCTCCCGCACAACCCCTCGACGACAAAGATCCCCGTCTCTTGCCTATCCCGTCCTCGTCTGTCAGTTTGCACTCACTTGGCATCCACAGGATCTCGACGTCGCTCATCTCCCGCATGATGCTCAATATCCGGAATCCGGAGCTGGTCGAGCTACCGCACCGCTGGCCGTCAGAACACTTCGACATCTGAGCACGAGACCGGCATATCCTCTACGTGCTATAGTTGGAGACTATTTGGCAGCCTTTCGCGGAAATTATCCTTATCTCACTTAGATGAGCACATACGTGGACCTTTCGCCGCCGGGACATGGCGTTGTACTGTATCACGCGGGCTTGATTCTCCGACACATAGGATCACTGCTGTACCTACTACAGCTACTGTAGCACACTAGTAATGCGGAGGTGGAGCTCCGCGGGATAGCGTATATACACGGTGATACACGGCTCTGTTGGGTATAGTTACATAGGCATCCACCAGTCGCTATCATATGGGATCTGCGACCTCCTTCATATCCCGACCGCCTCAATGCTGTTGCCCATGGGGCGCGCTGCCCAATATGCAGTCGCCCTGATCGCCGTGCAACCAAACCGCGACCCCCGTGGAAGGTAACGTGTGCGCTCTCGCGAAGTACCCGTTTCCAATACGTCTGAGTCTGCGCACGTCAGGATAATGTGCGCCCCTGCTCCTCGGGGAGCTGGACGCTCTCCATCTTGGTGATCGCTTGCGCTCACTGGATCCCGGAGAGCATCCTCAGCATGTGGGCACGGCGGAGAAGTGCACGACCCGCCGCACCCGCTGGAGGGTGAACGTCGGAGTCGGTATCGGGACCGTCGGCGAGCCCATGACGACCTGCTACCGCTCGGGTGAAGCCTCCTTGCCAGGGTAGCAGACGTGTGATCAGATGTATTCAACCACCAGGAAAGTAGTAGGATCATAGGAAGGATCAGAGGGCATGGATAGCTGTATAAGTGTGGAGACGCGTCGGATGATCTGTAGTAGATGCTACGTAACGTGCGTGCAAAGCCTTCGCGGATCCGCGATATGTCGCCCGTGGAGATTTCTGAGGGCCACCAGATGTTGAAGATTAGTCGCTCGATGGAGAAAGCGCGGTTTTGGCGTGAGGACATGAACGCGAGGCGATTCATGAAGGCCTCTGTAATATCCAAACTAGAAACGTTTAGAATGCGGGTGCGACCACAGCAGCGGAGGAAGCTCGCCTATGCGACCGGGTTGTGCGGCGGTTCTGTCCCGTTACCAAGCAGCTTCATTGATCAGAAGCAGTCCATATCAGACAATGAACAAATGCGAAAGGTGTGCAACATACAGCTCTCAAGTATTCCTTCATCTTCTCGATAATAACCGTCCCTGTAGCGTTCAGAGGGGGTGGATCCGGAAACAGGACATGAAAGAGATCATACAATTCCCAGCGGGGTCTCGCGTCCCATATCGCCACAGATGCTAGCACATTCCAGGCCCAGCATACACGAGATGCGCTCACGGATGCTGTTTGACCCTCCTTTCTCCGAGGGTCGAGATTAGAGAAGACGTGGCTAAGGATGTCAAAATCTATGGTAGGTGGCGGGATCATGTGGCATAGGCATGCATTGCGTGAACATTTGTACGGGTAACGGCTCCTGTAGTGATGGTGGTGAACCAGCTGGCAAGGCCCGTCGGCGGGCCGTCGCCGCCTTCCTCTGCCTTCGCATCGTAGATTGAACTTGAAGGGGTTACTTGGATGGGTTGACAGACTCTGCGATTGAATTATGGATAAGCAGCACCCCGGAGTTGGGGTGGTGTGGCAGCTGACAGGAGTGGTCGAATTTTCACTGACCAAATGAAGCGTACCTTAGGCCATCAACGTTTAAAGGTTAACGCCCAAGCTTCCCACGCGGTCGATTCAGATGTTTGCAGGCGGCCTATACAAGTGGAACAGAGAGCTGAATTCAACGCGGGCTGCGACATGATGCTCCTTAGTACTGACTTGAAACTGTCAGCGACTGGTGGACTAATGGCATGACCTTGACCTCTAGTGAATCAATCGATGGCATGGTCGTATATCCGATCCTTGTTAAATGGTGGTACGATTGAACATCTTCAAAGATAACAACGCACACCTACAAATGAGGAGTCTGAATCGCCGTCGTCCATGATACCCTCGGCTCGCCCTCCTTGCAGCCTCTCTACAGCTTTCCACATCCCCCGCATCTGCTTGTATCCATCATGTTCCTCGGATAGGAGCCGTGCATCGCAGTAATCGACGTCCAAGTCCGGAAACAAGCCATCTATGAACTCTGCGAAGGCGTGCGGGTCCGCAATGGGCTCATTGATGGTCAAGTACAGACGCTCGACAGGGCATCTCTGGTGCTGAATGGTCTGGATTACGCCAGTGGACGAAGACTCCCGTGCCTTTTCATTCGCAGCCACTGGGTCTGTCGGTGCAACCATGCTGGGAGATAGGTCGTTGATGGTCCAACCGTCTGATAGTTCCAGGGCGAGATATTCCAGTGACGTGCAATGTCGTGCGATGGCGGCGAGTCCTATCGCAGAAGGCAGCCTTGATTGCGCACGGATAGCTTCTGCGTCGGGCATGAGGTAGTGTCGAAGTGGTAGCTCGAGTTTCTTGAGCCCGGGCCAATGCGGAGCGAATTGGCAGAGGTCGTCCTCGTGGAGCAATACAGGATGTTGAACTTGTATTGAGAGGACTTCGAGGTGAGGCAAACACCCGCACAAGGGCTCGAGCATATCCGTGTAGATGGGAACTGAGGGACCCAAAGATGGGGATATTGACGTGTTGATGTAGCTCCAAGTGAGGGAACGAAGAGTGAGTGCCATAGAGTTGTCCGCCATTGCGAGAGCCACAGCTCGATGAGTGCCGATTTCGTACGCGGTAGAGACAGTGCTACGCAGCGTTACTGTTTGTAGTGAAGGGAATTGAAAGGAGGATAGTAGGGCTGCGAGATCTGAGGGCGAACCGTCGCATTCGAGCGAGCGCAGACAATCGTTACGGGAGACCCTCAAGGGCTTCCGGGATCCCCCGAAATGTTCGATTCCCAAGCTGAGAGATTCAAGGCTGAGGTGGGAGAGGATCGCGTGTAGACCTTCTGGTGCGACTGGGATCTTCTCGGGTTTCCCCAGGACAAGGCTGCGCAGCTGACCGTGTTGGAGGAGGCATGCGGGTGTGAGAGGCTGTGGATCCTCATGCATCACGTGTAGCGTCAGGTCGTTCAGTGCAGGTGAGACAGGAGCGAGCTGCTCGAGACGTTCCCCTAATCGCGGGCTGGCCACGTGCACAAAAATCTGTGCGCGTTGCAAGGAGGGAGGGGCCAGAGACAGGAGAAGGCCATCTACTGTGGGACTCTCATGCCAAGAAATCGATCGTAAGGCACAGAGGAATGTTTGATTGCGATTCTGTCGAAGGAACGACTTGATGAGGTCTACCTCGACAGAGATGGGCGGTCCGGCCCAACGCGTTTCCAATTCGAGGATGCGAGAGGAGCAAATTAGAAAGCGCGACCAGAGATAGGGTGTTTCGTGGGGTTGGTCGAGAGTGACCTGTTGAGGTAATGTTCATATTTAGCGGCAATAAAATGATCTGGAAACGCATAGCTACCTTGGTTAGGTACCTCGTTCGTTCTGCTGAATCATGCCTCCAACCTTTGCGACGCGGTTGCTGAAGAAGCACGCCATATAGGTCCAGCAGGTCCACAGGGCCTTCCCAGAACACACGTGACGCGTGCTCCGTCCAGGCGCGACAGACAAGCGCGCCGCTAACACATGTCGCTCTATCGGTGCGTTCTGTCCGTCCGAAGCAGCCAAATAGCCTTACGAGGAACTCCTCATCGAATAGAATACGATGGGCGTCCTGGATGGGGGCTGGAGTCGATTTTTCAGGGATGGTGTATGATAAAGGCTCGGGAGTCGGCGAACCCTGTGGTGGCGCCTTCCGTTGGAGAGAGCAACAGCAGAGAATTGACGTGAGCATGCCGATCATGACCACAAGCCTGAAAAGTTGATAAGAGGTGTTGCTTCTCTGTGACGGGAGTTGCAGGCTGGCAGGCAATCGTATGTCAGATTATCATCCTGCCCCTAAGACTCAATACGCTCACTTCCGCTCCAAACAAGGAAGCGATGTATGATTGGCCCTCTGATGGCAAAGGTCTTAACCTGGTCACATTAAGAAGTTAGCCCACATCGCATACAAGGGCACTGGTAATACGTCAATGACCTATTCTCTGCGACGTCGTTCACTCGGCACAGGTGTTATAGCAGGGCAATGTGCAAAAAGGTGTCGGCATCATGATGCCACGTTGGTTCAGAGGTGATATGAATGGACAGACTGCTGGCGCTTATTGGAATCAATGCTAGTAGCGCTGATCTTCCTAAAAGTGGCACAAAGCACGAGCTGCTCCGGCATCCCGACGCGGTCGGGCACCTGTGTTGCAGAAGCCGAGCTGCGACCCGGCGCTCTAGAGTGATATGCTGTGTGCATTCTTATCGTCAAAGTGGCAATATCACCGAGGCCTTGCAGACTAACCTGACCCTGCAAGCAATACCCCGAATGCCAACATAGGGATGTCTATGCATCGGCGACAGTACTTGAAGGAGGCCAGCTTCATGGAGCGAGAATGTGCCGGATGAAATGAATCCGAGCCATCGCTGAGTTCTAGGTGACCTTCATGGGGCGGGCCGCTGGGGAGGTGGGCCAACTGTCAAAGTGTCCGGCACTGCTATGGAAGAATTGAAGCCTTATGAGGCTCCATCACACTGCCGCCGGTCGCCCGACGGCGAAAGCTCTTGGGGAGAGAATACGCACGTGGACATCGAACCCCTTGTTGAATTCCGAGGCGCCCTCAATCTTGATTCTCGATGTTTTCATCGGACAGCGAAACGTCGAGTGCTTAGATGCGACTTGCCCTTGCGACCGCCCAAGATGGGGAAGGCATAGGGCGTCTTCTGCATCATATATGCAATCACTAGTGCTGCAGTTACATCAGTCGCAAGCGGACCTACGAAGTCACAGGATTCGGAAGACACCTACTAGCCTGAATGTTGGGCGTGCCGACCTCAGCCGCAACCTTCCCTAACGTCCGTTCAGTCACCAACCCGGGCATGCCATATAGGTTCCACAAAAATTCTTCGAGGACGGGCGACGTAATTTTCAAGAGCTAGGTCATGGAGGAAGTAATACTAAGAGACTAACGGCTTAACCTGGGATAGTGGATTCCCATTCCAGTCCGAATACCCCAGCGGCATCGCTGCGGGGTTTCGTACGGTCACGAGCTTGTGGCTATCGGGCAAATATATTTGGTGGATGATGTCGCGGTGGACGGACGGCGGTGTCGATGCAACATGGAAGCGCAGCTAGGATGCCCAGACATGCCCGCAGCTCGCCTATGATCGCGCACCTGTCAAGGTGGTGGTCTTCAGAGCCGACAACACTGAAGCTGAATGATGGTGATTCGTCCAAACAGTACAGCGACCTTCATATCGCGTAGCCGACACTTAAATCCTCATCTCTCCAGTGTACAACGACGGACTCCTCCAAGAGAAGCACCGAGACACTGTCCAACGAGTCGTACTCCACAACTAGAGTCAAGACCTCCGCCTCCGGGCAACGATCGGCCAGACGTCGCATCGTCGTCAGGTGGGCAGGATATGCCACCGAATTGCCCGGAGCGATGGTGGAAGTGGGGTGTGTTCGAGGATCCTCGCCGTAGAGCCAATGGCAACGCTGAGTTGTTCGACATCCTCGTCTTGGACCGCCGTAGGCCAGAACATGTCGAATGAAAACCGTTCGAGCTTGGGTAAATCGAGCGAAGGGGTGGCAGGGAAGAACGGGGTGAGAATGTTCGATAGGGGTTGATCGAGGGAGAGATCTACAGGGATATCATCAGGATCCAGATTCATAGATTGGTGTGCTTTGGGGCCAAGCTCGGAGTATATGTTCGCGCTGGAGTATTCGAGAGACAATACACTACTTGCGAAGGAAGCGCCTGCGACAGTGCGGAGGAGCAGTGAGTGCGCACTGCGCCTCTGGTGCAAGCGGGTCTCGTCCACATGGAGAATTAGAGACTCAAGGTAAGGCGCATCGAGCAGAGACAAGAGGGTGGTCGCGGTGTCACATGATGCGGCGCAAGCAAATTTGCGTAAGGTCGTGCTGTTGTACGACCCTGTCACTGCGTGTGTAAAGGTTTCATCTGGGCAGGGGTCGGAAGCCGCAAGGTTCACTTGGAGGGAATGAAGATGTGGTAGGGAGAGGAGCGTCCGAATTTCTTCGCTTGGTATTGCGATGCCGCCTCCCAAGGTGAGTTCGCGGAGCTGGGTATGTTTGAGAAGTCCGTCTACAGGAAACGAGCGCGTCTCGTCTGGTGACAGGAGAACCATACTTGTGATACCCGGGGCACGTACACTTACTTTGGTTATAAGCCTGCGGAGGTTGTGTATGGGCATCTCTGCGTCGGAATCGATAGAGATCAGGAGCCTCTGGAGAGTGTGGTGAACCATTGCGACGAGTATCCCGGCGGACGATGGGCTTTCCTGCCATGTTAGGGACGGGGATGAGAAGAACGTCTCGTCCTTTTTCGGCTTGAGCAGCATCCGAAGTCTCACGGCTTCAATTCCCAGTCGAGGAACGTAGAGCTCCCTTGTCCGCGCACAACATCGTAGGAAACTCGTCCATGCTTCAGACGAAACTCACAGGTCTCTCTTCTCTTGAACTATCTGAACGTAGTCGGTGATATCAGATCAGCCGCTTGAAGATGCCTCTACGTTGCAGATTGGGCTTACTGTTCGAAGATACTGCTGTAGCCTGTACTCGCTTGCGAAGCCGGACTCGTCGAGAGGTGGCGGGTCCGGGAGAAGAATATGCAGGAGGTCAAACATGTGCCATGGTCTCGTCTCCCAGATTGCACTGGATGCCGGCTCGTACCAGGCACGGCAGACCCGAGCTGCCCGGGCGCATGTTGCGTGGTATATCCGGTCGTACGTCGCCTCTGAAACGACAAAAATATGCCTGAGAATATTGTCCGTGAAAAGAGCAGCATGAGGTGTTGATGCGCGGGGTCTCTCAGAGGATAGTTTCCGTGGACGGGGAGACCTTGGAATGGAAAAAATGCTTCCCATGTACCAGCTAGTTGTTAAGGATGGCCAGACAGTGGAAGGTGGAAGCAGGTGTAGAGGGACCGTCAACGGTGTCGTAGAAGACAGTGCGGCGAGGAAGTGCGTGTGCGAATCATCGTGCCCCGAGACGGGCGATATAGGACCCCATCGCGTTCCAAGGCAGTGTAAATCTGCGTGTTGGCTTGATATTCTTTCCAATCACTGCCATAAATGGTCAAGGACAGGTCCTGATGTACTAGGACAAACTTGAGAACTTACTGGGTATGACGTGGATGTGCCGGCTGCGGTGCCAACGACGAAGTTGTCCAGTAGCCTTGCACCTCAAGCAGCTTGTTGTGCTCCGACACCGTAGCGTTGCAAAGGACTGCATATTGACTAGTGTATAAGACCTGGCGGATCAAGTGATGACAGCTCACGCATCGATGTCATACAACAGAAGAAGCATAAGTAGACCTGCACCGATCGTAGTTGCCAAGGCCCGAGGTACTATTGCCAGTGCCGCCCCAGTCATTGTGTCGGAGACTGAAAGTACAGATCTCCGATGGGAACTTCATAGTGCAGGGAAGGCGATGTCGGCCAAAGCGCGGACGCAACGCTGAAGCAATTGCCGCGCCACCGTGTCCAACGCTCTCATGCGGACTCGGAACTTCGATCGGCGCGAGATCTTCCTTCCCTCAGGTTTACATGTCGGGCATGGCGCCATTGTCCTCATTCTCATGATCATCCACGATGGCACTATCTTTCAGGCAAGCTATCGCTGCCTCGGGGATACCAGCGTGCACAACCACAAACTCTTGGCCACGATTATACGAGGACATCTTCACGTCGGTGTTTGACCAATTCGACACGACGCGACCCATCGACCGCGTGTCATGCGCGCAATGTGCCCTCGTATGTAGGGCCTGGACGGAACCTGCATCCAAGATGCTATGGAGATCACTTTGGGGCTCCCTCCTGCCATTGTATGCCATCTTGTTACCTGTACCAGACGCCGTCCGAAGATGGCACATTGGAAGCTTCCACGGGTCTCAAGGACCGCTTTCATACATCGAATACATCCATAAGGTCAAGTTGTAAACAACGTGCTTCACTCGCAGTCAGTACTGTCGTGATTCCTGACCTCGGTTTCATTCAGGTTCTAGACGTAAGGTCTTTCGATGATTCGGCAATCTGGACTTCGTTCCTGCGTTGCGCATCTCGCATCCGTCACATCCTGGACTGGGATCCCGGGTTTGACCTCCGTGTCCTGCGCGTTCTGTGCGATCGCAACGGGGAGAAGACAATCCTTCCGTCCCTGCAATCCTTATCCTGGGCCGATGATCCAGGATGTCGTAGCGATGAAGCTCTGCCCCTACTAGCTCCCCCGTCGCTGAGGCATATGATATACCGCGTCGACTCAGTCACACCCATCGAATTCGTTGGAACTACGTTGGCCAACGTGTTTTCCAAGGCTCCATACCTGTCCTCCCTCACCATCCTCGTCGATGAACGCCTTTCCCAAAGGCTATCGCTTCTCCCCTTCCTTTCGCACTTTCAGCAACTTCGTCGTTTGGCCCTTTCCGGATGGCAGGTGGTCACACCGTCTTCCTTCACCGACTTCTCGTCCTCGCTTACACTCGAGCATCTTGACTGCCATCTCGAGGGATTCGAGGGTAACCAAAACATCGAGTCTGCGCTCGAGGTCCCAAACCTTATGTTGCTGAAGCTCACTGGAACGCGTAGCGTCATGCAGGGATTCCTGCGCTCCCTTCGCGCACCGCGCGTTCGGGAGCTAGACTTGACAGTCTGGGAGCCGGACCCCGAGCATGGACACTGCGCTAACGCTGATTTGTGCGGTCAAATCGCAGGTGCCCAATTCTCCCATACCTTGCAGAGGCTCAACCTCCGCTTCCGAGGACCTCTCGACAACGCAGCCGCCCAGGGCCACCTCTCGGACTCGAGCCAGACGTCTCTCTCAGCCATCGTGCGTCCGCTTCTCTCGCTCAAATCCCTGCGTCACTTCACCCTGCACTACCTCTGGAAGGACACTGCCCTGACGGACGCGACGATGACGCTCATGGCCGAGGCGTGGCCGGGGATCGAGGAGATCATGCTCAGTATGCGCGAAACGGCGCCGGCTCGCTCCCCCAGGCCCACACCTCTATCGCTTTCCAAGCTATCCCTTCTCTGCCCCAATCTCCGCGTTCTCTCCATCCCTATTGACCTGGAGCATGCCGACGCGGGGGCGTGCACTCCAGCCCCTAACGACTGCGAGACCACTCCGGGCCGTTCGCGACCTCATCCGCTCAAGAAACTCGATATCCTCGGTCAGAGGTGCCTGACGACGCCGGAAGCGGAGCTCATGCGGTTCGCACAGTTCCTCCACCGCCTGTTCCCCTGTCTCGTTCCTCGGTCTCCGGTCACCTATGCGTTAATGGTGGATCGCTGGGAGATCGTTTGGGACAAGTTTCGCTCCTTGTCTGCTATGGCGTTAGAAAGAGGCGAAGTCGATGCGGGTGCTCCGTCTCTGTTTACTCTTACATAGACTTTGCCATGGACATTCCGCAGCCTCGCTCTTGACACCATTCCTATTACGTGCTGGAGAAGCATGTTTCGTCCATCTGAACTCGCCCAATAGGGGGGTGATCCGATGACGCGGCGGATGGGAACCAGTCGCACGAGTTCACCACGGGTTCTGGGAGGACGCCATAGGGCGGACGAGTATGTGCTGCGTGCTATGGAAAACCACGACGTCCCTTTATGCGGTGCGTATCTTGTTACGTGGCTTACTCTTCTCGTCCAGTGTCTCAGCCTAGCGAATGTCAGGAGTCTGCGCATGTTCGGGTAGGGATTCCTACGATTCTATTGATGTCCGTCTAGTATTAGCTTCAGGTCGCCTCGAGGGTGATCTTCTCCCGCCGTCCAATGTCCTCCACACCAGAAGATGTGACATAACGTACATTCCTCCACTTACTCATGGGACCTCCAGGAAACAGTCACCACGGCGCCCCATTACGGGTTCTCTATCAGATGAATGACCTCCGTGTTTGTAGGCATGATGCGTTAAGCCGCGTTGAGTCCTCGGCGGGCGAGGCTGTTCTGCTTCGGTCCCGAAGGGTTCTCCCATTCATTCCAGTGACTCGCCGCCAGTTTCGTGCCTGACTCCGGGCACACACGGGTATGTCAGTGAGTACCCTGCATCTGATCCCAGTACCGTTGTCTGATGACTTTTCTACAGGAGGCTGTGCGTTAAAGTCCATCGTTATCGACGCCGCTTTCGTTGCCGGCGGCGGCTACCTGACAGTATGTACATACCATCGTCGTTCCGCCCTGCATTTGCCCACCACAGAGACAATTTCAGCTGATGAGTTCTTGATGACTGTTGCTTCCAGTGTGCACTCAGCCCACAACGAATGTCTTCTCGAGGCGAATGGAACGATACCGCATAGAACGCGTATACCGTGTGGACTGACGCCTCTCTGACAGTGTGAGAGCTCGTCTGTTGCCGCGCAGAAGGTGAGATGAGCACGCGCGTCGTCGATTCGGAAGACTCAACTCGTTCCAGATCGTGACGATCGGGCGGTGGAATTGACACATAAGTACGCATGACCTTGAGTGTCCCGGCCGTCCCCTCCTCCGCCCAAGCATTCCACCCTCTATAGTATTGATGTGCGCTCTCATAGGCGATTCAGTGATTTCGTACTTACTCACAACCCGTTTCCCCGTTTTCTAGCATGTTCTCCAAGCTGGCCCCCGCCCTCGTCGTCTTGTCCGCGTTGTGTGGCTCCTGTGAGCAGTCCCAAGCCCGGTGATGAACGTGTATCTTACCCGATCGCAGACGCCTCCCCAGCGGCCGAAGTTTCATATGTACTCCCTGGGTTGGAGAACGGCGCACAAAGCGTCACAATAGTCGCCCTAGGTACAGACTCCAGCGGGCACGTCACCTACTCAATCGGACTCGCCATCCCCACCGCGATCGCTCCCACCGCCACGGCGCCGGACACGACCATCACCGCTGCAGGTGGGTATGCTGTCATCAGCCACCTTCCTGATAACCTCCTGGCACTCTATGTAGTAGAGCAGCGAACTGACCGACATCTATCCTGCAGCCACTCTCGTCGACGGCCCATCTGACGCGCATCTCATCGAGGTGCTCACCGTCGCAGGCCAGACGGCGACGTTCAGCGAGGGCTGCACTCTCGAGAAAGGCAACGCCGTCTGCACGGTGGTCGGACACTTCGCGCAGACGACGATCTCCTCGGTGGTGACGGTCACGTCGAGCGTGTCTGGCCTCTCGGTCGTGACCGCAAGTGCCCCCGCCGGGAAAGGAAACGGTGCCGGGCGGATTGGCGTCGCGACGATCTCCTCACTGGCGGTCGTCGTTGCAGGTGTGGTGCTTGGTGCTGCTATGGTCTAGGGGTTGAGTGTGCGTCCGAGTCTCTACGCTATGTCGCTTCCGTCGAACTGTACCTAGTACGGACTCTAGATCCCTGTCGATAATGTTCCGCTCATACATATACATACATGAACCCGCACTGCTCATGTGCGAGTACGAGAGGTAAAATCGGATGTATCACGCAGCTTGGAGCTCAATGCTACGCGATGTTGCGAAGGTTCCTGGTTTCTGAGCTAGATATAATCGGGTATGTGGTCGATGGGATGTCTTACTGCAGCATCGGTCATAGGTGCCCACCCCGTATGCCTCTCGTTTCTCGTATCTCCTGGCCGACCCCCTCACGTCGGTGTCCCTTTATGAAATCCATGCACGCTCCTATGGCCGGTTCAACAATTTTCGTACTTGCTCAATGGACATGTCCACGTTGTCTAGCATGTTCTTCAAGCCGTTCCCCGCCCTCGTCGTCTTGTCGGCGCCGATTGCATCAGTAAAACCGACGTTCTCTCAACCACTTATAGCTCTCACAAGCGCCCGCTCAGAGGTTCAAGAGCCTTCAGAACCGGTGCTCCTGGGCGATAACTTGAGAGCAGCTCCGGGGCCGGGCTCGAGCAGAAGTGCGTGTTGTATAGTAAAGAATGACGGTGCATCAAGGGGGTCAGTGTGCTCGAAGCCTGTTCTGAATCCTTGTCCGAGCGTGCCGAGGCAAGACAGGGATGCTCGGAGTCTCGGACTATGATGTCGTAGCACCACTGCACCTTCCAGAAAGCACACTGATACGTTGTTCGAACGCACCCGGCACTGTGTGCATTGATTCCCGGGGCCCTGTACACGTGCACAGGGTGCAGGAGTAAAGAATTGAGTCCGAGTGCAATGGAGCCCACCGGGATGGCCAGATGCCACAGCGCTTTGTATTTGTATCGATCCAAAATGTGCGCTCGATGTTGCAGACTGGCTCCTGGGTTTTTACAATCTGAATAGATCGGCGGGCGAAACCGCATCGTTCGTCAAGTTTCCTGCACTTGCGCACTAAAATAGAGCCGTCGGCTCGCAGATTTCCACCGTCCATAGAGGTTTGAGGTTTGACAGTTGTTCTACATATGGCTATATAGTAGCTATGCAAGAGGTCAGACGTGTGTTCGGAAAGCCAAGACGGGGGCACGGCCGACACGCCCATCTCGTCCTCGAGGCACTGATTACGCGCCCAGCTCCCGTGTATCCCACAGAAACTCTGACTTTCGTTTTCAGACGTCATCCGCTCGGTGCGGAATCTGTACTGACACGGCGCCTATGCATGCCCGTCAGCGTCGGCGTGATTTCCGATGCACGCTTCCGCATGCTCAGATGGGGCAGAAGACTCCGAGAAGGCGCGTCGTCCCGAATGCAATGAAAGCGGGCGATTCAAAGTGCCCATTTCCCAGACCTCGTTGGTGCGTGGTGGGAACCGAGCACATTCGGTGTGGCAGGAACAATGCAATTGCCTTCAAGGACTAGTTTTTGTGCCGCAGCCGCTGCGCTAGGAAGAGAGAACCCGTGTTCTGGCAGGTATCGCGCAAGATAGCACGCCCGGCTCGACCGTCTCGCTGCCGTCCCCCAAGCCCAAATCCCAAAACCAAGTCATCACAATCGTGTTCGCTCTCTGTCTGTTCCAGACAGCCGGCCATGCCAGGGCCCGGGGACAGGCTGCTCTTCGTCGCAAAGCGACACGGGTGGTTCGCCATTCCCCACGCCTAGGGAGAGCCTCTAGAGTCACGAAGGTGAGGACTGATAAACTCGGGGCTGTGAAGACAAAGATTAGATCCGACTAGAGTCGAAGCAAGATCTTCAGTCAGTAAGGAAAGACTGAAGAGGGAGGATGCAATCTGAAGTCCTTATATACTACAGAGAAGTGTCCATGACTAATCAAAGAGTGGTTAGTCACATGTACCATAGTGCGATGAATAATATGATGGTGAAAGAATTGCGACGTATCGCACCATAGGATGAGTAAGAGATGAGTAAGGCATAGACCTGTCTAGACCGTTCTGGAGTAGTACGGATTGTCCTAGACAGTACCAGAAGAGTCCAGAAGCATAGCTATAGTACACGA